ACCTAGCTTAAGCTGCAGCTCCCAGGAGCTCATAGATAACTGTGACAGGCTTTAGCTCCCTAAGGCTGCTCTGCAGGGAGCTCCCACTCTCTAAACCACCACTGTCACATTGCTGCTCACTTCCTTTTGAGAGGCATCATACTATGTGGCATCTGAATCAAGACCTTCCTGAATGTGTTCAATCTTTGTGCCACTTAGGCTTTGCTGTATTCTTTCCAAAAGAAAGCTCTTTCCTGAAAAAGACTCCTTCCCTGTGCAGTATTACTTTTTGTTTTGCACTGGTGGTCTCTTTCTGAAGTTCAAAAATTCAAAGTCCAATCTGCAATAAAACACTCTTATAAACTGATTTCCTTTAAACAAGGACAGAAGTGAATTAATTTCAAAGTAGGTGATAAAAATTAGTCATAAAATGTGGATTCTGGTGGAATATGCCATATTTGAGATGTATTTACTAAAACATCCTTTATTTCTCATTGAAATACAGATTGAAACTTATGTCATTATTAGTAAATTAAACAGCTGCTAGGAAATGTAACTAGCTTCCTATATACTCAAACCTGGCCACCCGTAGCTATTAAATTTTAAGGAAGGTCCTGGGCTTTTCTTTGTCCTGAGCTAGTCAGCACTCCCAAATAACGTCATGGTACACCTTAGCAGTTACCATAGACCATTGATTTGGTATGGCTACCTAGTTACAGAAAATAAGAATTTGACATTATGGATTTGGACTGTTGTGTAACTGTTCTGTAGTTTAAATCAAGGTTGAAAATTAATAAAATCCTTGATAGTCACCTAAGCAATTAATCTTTACACATGTAATTATTACATGTAATAATTTTTGGTAGTAGAAGCCTAGCACAAGAGAAGTATTGACTGTATCACTGAATTGTAGGTGATATAAATAGAGATAAAAAGAAGCCTTAACTTTCATGCTGTTTCTTTTTCTTTGACAGGTTTTACTACAACAGAACAAGCAAAGGCAAAGTACAGCAGTAAGCCTGTGAGAATCTACTTTAGTCTGAAAAGTTAAAAGCCATTTTTTTTCAAGCTGTCTAGAAAAACACAGAAATTTATAATGGGTCAGTGGAAAAAAATAAAGTGCTTACACTAAATGACACAACAACTAGACGTTTTTAAACAATCTTAACAGCAGACTAAAGACAAATGTAGAATCATTTCCAATTAATTAAATGGTTGGTCTGCTGATTTGCAGCCCTTCAGAATATGTTAATTTATGTTATTACTCCATGGAAAAGCAGCTGTGATTGCAACTTGCTACATTTTGACAATGCAACCTCCCAGAGCCATGTAAAAATATTTCACAGAAACCAACAACTTCCAAGTATGCATATTTTGTACTTTGCTGTGATATTTTGTGCATCATGCTGTTATATTTCTGCAACTCAGCAAGAAAATACATCTCTTTCTTGGAGGGAAAAATAAAAATCTATAAAGCAATATTCAAGCACTGTAGATGCAAAAGAGAACTTTGCTTTAATCAATGTTACTTTAAAGAGCAAGGCCAAAAAAGAGAAAGACAGAATGAGCTAACACTGTTCTGATTAGTTCTTAGGTGGCCTGAGTGCGTCAACAAGCAGACAGGACTTTCTGGCTTCACCTCAGACCTGACTTGCCATCCCACATTTGATGATCAGCAGACTGTCGATGAAACCCCAGGCTGTTCACCTTATTCAGCTAACATGGAACGGCGCTCTTGCAGCTGCGGGTACTTCCTCTACCTCTGCCTTTGCCACCCCTGGCTGCCAGTTCATATTTCTTTGCTAAGCATCCCTGCTCTTGATGCTCCTTGACAATTAGCTGTGTCCATCTTGAGTGAGAATCATGGATCTTGGCCCTCATACCATCATGGTCCCAGCATGTCCAAGCTGAGCATCATTAACTGGGCTCCACAACTCCAAATCCTGTCTCAGTGAACCTGTGGTGTAGACAGTTCTTTGTGGCACCCAAAGGGTTGAGATCATGACAGATCTGACCAGAGTGTGTCTAATTGTATTTGTGATAAGCATTCATCATTTTGGATTAATAGTTACTCATCACAATGCTGATTTATTGCCTCTCAAAGTTGTTGGTCTTGATCTCAGAGTTTCAGCATGTCGTACCTTACTTACAGCTGGTATTTGCTGTTTCAGTACAGCCAGTATTTCCTGGGGGGCCTGGGCTAGGGTTATTGTTTCACTGTACTTCATGGCAATGACTTGTAATACATTAGACTCATTGATCATGAAACTGATCTGGCTTGTGCTCCCAATGTGGTCATAACCTCTATACTTTGGGAGGTATATAATGGAAGTGTTTAGCAGCTACACATCATTTTTTCCCTCTTCGGGTAGTCAGCCTATGAAGGAGACATTCCCTAACACCCTCTGCTCCCCCACCAAACTATTTAGAGTGGGAGCAGATTCTGGATGATTTAAAGATCCTGAATATCTTTTCAATGCCCTTGAAAGCACCCTGCTCCTCTTGCTGGGAACCAGGTTGTTGCTACATATGCTCTCTATGTTTTGCCTATGGCATGACTACCCTGAGAAAGCCCAATCTTGTTCGATAGTGGAAACTAAGCAGGGTCCAGCTCAAGTCTTGTCTAGGATTAGGCGACAATATGGGACAACCACCAAGAGATTTTCCCTGAGGATGGACAGCCATGAGTGGTAGGGTGTATGGAACAGTATGGACAAGTATCTAGTTCAGTGGGCTCCTCCAGTGCTTTGGAAGCATCGGAGATGGAAGGTAGCTGCATGGAGCCACCAACAACAAGTTGAAGAAACTGCTGCAGAAGAGGGTGAATCGAGTCATTTTGCCAAGATGAAAGCCATCCACATGCCATTGGACATTGCTGAATAAGAATAGTGGCCAGTACTTTATACCGACTCATGGATGGTGGCAAATGCCCTGTGGGGGTGGTTGCAGGAATTGGAGCAGAGAAACAGACAATGGAGAGGGGAACCCATCTGGGCTGCTGCACTGTGGCAAGATATCTCTGCCTGGGTGTAGAACCTGGTGGTGAAGGTACGCCATGTAGATGCTCATGTACCCAAGAGTTGGGCCACTGAGGAACACCCGAACAACCAACAAGTGGATAAAGCTGCTAAGATTGAAGTGGCTCAGATGGACTTAGATTGGCAACATAAAGGTGAATTATTTTTGGCCCAGTAGGCCCATGACACTTCAGGCCATCAGGGCAGAGATGCAACATACAGATGAGCTCGTGATCAAGGGGTGGACTTAACAATGGACACTATTGCCCAGCTTTATTCATGAGTGTGAAACATGTGCTGCAATTAAACAAGCCGAACGGTTAAAGCCTCTTGGTATGCAGGACGATGGCTAAAGTGTAAATATGGGGAGGCCTGGCAGATTGACTATGTCACACTGCCACCAACCCGCCAAGGCAAACACCATGTGCTTACCATGGTGGAAGCAACCACCGGATGGTTATAAACATACTCTGTTCCCCGCGCCACTGCCCAGAACACTATCCCTGGCCTTGAGAAACAGATTTTGTGGCAACACAGCACCCCAGAGAGAAGTGAGTCAGGCAATGGGACTCATTTCCTGAATAACCTTATAGACATTTGGACCAAAGAGCAGGGCATTGAGTGGGTATAACACATCCCCTACCATGCACCAGCCTCTGGGAAAATCAAAAGGTACAATGGGCTGTTAAAAACTACACTGACAGCAATGGGTGGTAGGACTTTCAAACAATGGGATACACACTTACCAAAGGGCACCTGGTTGGTCAACACCAGAGGATCTGCCAACAGGGCTGGCCCAACCCAATCAGAACTTTTACATATTGTAGAGGGGGACAAAGTTCCTGTGGTGCATATGAAGAATTTGCTGGGGAAGACAGTCTGGGTTATTCCTGCTTCAAGTAAAGGCAAACCCACTCATGGGATTGCTTTTGTTGAGGGACCTCGATATACATGGTGGGTAATGCGGGAAGATGGGGAAGTCTGATGTATACCTCAAGGGGATTTAATTTTAGGGGAAAACAGCCAATGAACTTAATTGTATGCTGTTGCTGTTGTGCAATACTTTTCTAGCCCATCAACCAGATATCTTCAGGTCACCAGCGACTGGCCCTGACTTCCCTCCAGCCATCATCCCAACAGAGAATGAACTTTGATAGAACCAGATGAGTTCTGCAGTAAGGGAATGATCAGCATCAGCAGGCAATGATCCAATACTGCACACAGCCTCTCCTGTTCTGAAAGACTGTTACAAGAGATGGAGCCTGACATCATGGACCAGATGGACTCAGCAGCATTATAGAGACTAGTCCATGCACTAAGATAGGAGTGCACTGAGATCAGAGTGATGGTATATTAAAAATGTGGATCTGAGCACGGCGTGAATGGTATGGAATAAGGGGTGGATAATGTCCTGGGTTTAGCAGTAGCAGTCATGTTTTCTCTTTCTTAGTAGCTGGTGCAGTGCTGTGTTTTGACTTTCGGCCTGGGAACAGAGCTGATAAAAATGATGTTTTGGTTTGGCCAAGGACTTTGTGAGCCTCTTGCTCTGCCAGGGTGGAGGTGAAGCTGGGAGGAAGGAGAGACAGGACACCTGACCCAAACTGACCAAAGAGGTATTCCATACCACAGCACGTCATGCCCAGGAGGTAACTGGGAGAGTTACGTGGAAGGACAGGGGCTTGGTTGGGTCAGACTTGTTGTTCGGCGGGTGGTATTGTACTCTTTTCCATTGTTATTATCTCTTACCATTGTTGTTGGTGGTGGTTGCGGTGGTGATTTGTGTTGTACATTGGTTGCTGGCCTGTTCTTATCTCAGCCCGTGGGAGTTGCATTCTTTCGATTCTCCTCCCCATCCCTCCGGGAGCGGGGAAGGGGGGGAGTCCCTGGGGGGGGGGGAACGCGGGCCTCGACTGCTTCCAGCCCAGCACCACTCACTGGGAGTGAGTGCACAAGATGTCTGGCTGGGTTTAAACCAAGACAACGAGACAAGAGTGATGTTATATTGAAAAATGTGGGATCTAAGTATGATGTGAATGGTATGGAATAAGGGGTGGGTACTGTCCTGGGTTCAGCAGCAGCAGTCATTTTTCTCCTTCTTAGTAGCTGGTGCACTACTGTGGTTTTGACTTTCAGTCTAGGAACAACACTGATAACACCAATGTTTTTAGTTGTTACTAAGTCATGTTTACTCTGACCAAGGACTTTCTGAGTCTCATGGTCTGCCAGGGAGGAGGGGAATCCAGGAGGAAGCAGAGACAGGACACCTGACCCAAAGTAGCCAAAGAGGTATTCCATATCATAGCATGCCATGCCCAGGATGTAAAACTGGGGGCAGTTACCCAGAAGGGATAGGTTGCTGCTCGGTCGAGTTGGGTATCAGCCAGTGGGTGGTGAGCGGTTGTATTCTCTTCCCTTGTTATTTCCCTTATCATTATTATTATTGGTGGTAGCAGTAGTGGTTTGTGTTATACCTTAGTTACTGGACTTTTCTTATCTCAACCCATGGGAGCTACATTGTTTCTATTCTCCTCCCCATCCCTGTGGGGTTGGGAGGACGAAGGGTGGAGAGGGGAGTGAGTGAGTGGCTGCGTGTTTCATATTGCCAGCTGGGCTTAAATCATGAAAACCCCCAACAGCTTCTAGAGTATCCTTATTATAAGGCAGTAGATATATGTCCTTCCTTGCAAGTGAGGCAAGAAATGTCTGCAGATTTAGTCAAACATAGTTTAAACTTTCCCTTTGATTATTTTTTTTATTATTATTTTTCTCCTCTTAAAACTGACAAAATAAAAGACAATATTTAAGACGAACACTTTGGGGGTAGGCATTAAGGCTATTTCTGTTTTATAACTGTGGCCTCTGGTGTGTAGTCCTAAATATTGTAATTTTAAAAAAGCTTTTTTTTTTTTTTAAAAAGACTTTGATATAGAAAAAAAAATACTGGCTACAGTGGTTGTGCATATCACTACTGACAACATTTCATCTGGATTGGATAATAACAGGCTTTTGTCACTTCTTTGAAGACACAGATTTCACAGACGTGACAGCTAAAGACACTACTAGAGCTCTTAGTCAGGCTAATTATATGTTGAAGCTATTTTATTAGTCTTCAGAAAGCTAAACAAGTAGAAAACAAAAGAACCTGGGATGTCACTAAACCTTGCAGACCTGCATAGGTTGACAAAATTGATTAGATAACATATGTTACATAATGCATATAAACCAAACACATTTACTATTCTAGATGTGAAACTCAGCCACATGCTAGGGAGAAACACTTCCTTGCAGAAACTTCCCTGACTTTACTAAGGAACTGACTGCTTCCCGGTTCTGTATTTTGCAATCCTTCAACACTGTGAGAAAGCATCAGGCAGCAAGGCACCACTGACTCATCACTGAATTATCTGCATCTGTGGCCATTTGTCCTTTTCAAGAAAGGCAAAACTAATCACCCCCACACCCACCCAAAAGCTTTAGTTAAATAAATATGATGAGTATTTCCTGGTTATATCAGGTAAACAACTCTAAACATTATCAGAAATTTTATTAGAAAAGCTAATTTGTTATATTTTGGAAAGTAATTTTGGCTAAAAAAAAGAATAATGCACCTTGGTGGACTTAACAGTCCACAGACTATATTGTAAACAAATAACCACTGTTTCTGGAGCATGTTCCAAATGGAGCATGTTGTTAAGTATGTTATCCAATCTGACTTGAAATCTCTATTAAGAGCAAGTCAGTCATATCCCCTAGATGACCACTCCAGAATGTAATCAGCTTCAGTCACAAAACTATCACCTTGGTTCCCTAATTGCATCTTCTAGGCCCTAGAGGTAAAAAAGCCTTCCAGTATGAACTGTTTTTCACACTTTAGGTATTCATGTCTCCTCAGAATTTCTTCAGCCAGCCTAATATGGATTTTGCTTAAACTTTTACAACAGATGTATATTTAGTATGGTATTTCTTCTCTTCTTGAATATCAGCATGAAAATAGGATAATTCTGTGTTGCTTTGACTAAAGGAGGCTTTCTTTATTTATTTCCCTCAAGTATCACAATATCTAGGCTCTTCTCAGGCATACTAGTGGGGGACATTGTGCAACTGTGAATTGTCTGTCTAATAGCTTCAGTTTCCTGAAAGTCACTTGATACTGTTTATTCTCAAAAGCATTTTTCTTCTACCAGACCCCAAAATGAATCCTATGCTATAGGGAGAATACTATCTATGGGGTTCTGAAACTTCTGTTTTGTTGCTGGAAAGCCACAGGAGTTAATAAATTAGACCACTTTATTTTGATTTGCTGATTTCAAGAAAGCAAATCTTGTGAAAGTCATAAGTGTCAGCTTTAAACAGGTAATTAAATGCATGCAAGCTTTGGAGAGCATATAGTCATTATGAAGCACATTCTCTTGTCTCCAGAAATTTAGGTTTTCTTCTCTTGTGTAACTTGACATGCATGTTATTATTTTATTTCTTTATTATCATATTACTTATGATTTGACATACCTTTTTTCTTTGTTTCCTTTTCACTGTTTATTGTTAGACTATTTGACTGAAGGCTAAGTAAATTAAACACACCAAAAAAAAAAAAAATAATCCTCCAGGAGAACCATAGGGAAAATGACAGCTGGAGGAATCCTAGTAACCTTACCTGTGAAAACAGAGTTATTGAATTGACTGCTCCTAAGCTTATCACAGAGGAGCCCATTAAGACAATTCAGTGAAAGAGATTCCCCCTAGAATGTCATGTAAACTAAATGAGTACAGAATTACCAGTGATGGAGGAGGAAGTGAAATTGGGAACACAGCAGAGAGCATTCTGTGACTGTGTAAAACTTATTATGGGATTTTTAGGGGGAAGAATAAAGTAAGGGAGAGTGGTCAAGGTGAATTAAGATTAATAACCAGGAAAGAGTAAAGGGTAAAAGGCATACAAAACTATTGCTCATGGTTCACTAAGTTCTAGTTGATAAGCTTGCCCAACTGAGCCCTATGCTTGACCATTGCTCTTTATCCGTAATTCTTATTAATTTATAACTATCTGCTCTGTGTATGAACTCTCGATCATAACACTGTGCATGTGAGTGTTAGGAAAGTTCATGTTAGATTAATGTGCAAGCGTGGTAAGAGGTCTGAGTGCCAGCTACTGAAAGGAGACACCATAAGTCTGAAGAACTCACAAGTCCAGGTTGCATCAGCTGAAGGAGATCAGAGTAGCGGGGGGCAAATATTGGATCAACTGAGGACTTGAAATCAGCTACTGGAGACCGTATTTTTTCCAGGGAGGTGTATATACTACTCCATTATCAAACTCCCAACCTGATCATGAAGTAAAGGTGAAAAAGAATAGGCTGCACTGTTCTTGTCTTGTGAGTGCCAAGATAGGCACTGCTCTCTGTACAGGTGTGTATGTCCAGCTTTGCTTGTACTGTGTGTGTGTCTGGGAAAATACATTCAACCTGGAAACTGGCTGGATCTGGGACAGTGAGCCATAACAGCCCCGCTTTGACCCAGCTGGGGTGGGAGAACAACCCTTGTGCTAAGAGTCCACAGACTCTGCTATGGTGTGCCAGGAAGAAAATATCCCCAGGTCTCAGCACTCCCTCACATCTCTCACCTGGAACATTTACAAAATTCTTAAGGCACGTTATTTTATAATAGTGAACATTAGTAAATCATAAGGTTACACACACAGTCTTAAATGTTCAAGAAGTCAAAATGCACAGTGGCAGCACAGTTGTCTTGATCGGTCAGATATACACTAACCAGAAAATAAGACAACAGGACTCTTAGGTTTTTGAAAAACACTATTATTCTTTATCTCATGTGAAGTAACATTGATTAAAACTATACCCGCTAATTAATTGTTGATAAAATCCTCACATAGTTTTTTCCCAGGCAGTGATATCAATCCATTTTTCCCGACATATTTAAAGTATTAGAGAAATATTTTTTTACAAATGAAAAGGAATTTAGATATTTTTAACCTAGTTAACATAATTCTGTGTAAGCTTATTAATGACATCTAGCAATGGACTCAGAACTTTTCAGAATCCTAATATGTTTTTTAAAGACTGTGTCTTATATTTTGGAGGTTATATTATTTGATGATAATTTTGGCTTTCCTTAGCAACAGCCTCATGCAACCCCTCTACATACAGCCACAGAAAAAGTATCCTTAATCACACATTATATAATTAACAGTTCAAAGAATAATGAGACCAACAGTGAAAAATAATGAGATGTAAAGGGTACTTCTAAGGTTATTGATATCCATGGTGGAACTCCCTTCTTGCCCCAAAGCAACTGAGCCACACAAAGTATATCCTTGTTATATAGTTAAAAATCTGTAATATTTTTCATTTTATGAAATCAGCACAAAGTTCATGGGTGGTGTTTTTGGGTGGGTGTTTTGTGTGTGTTTTGTGTGTGGTTGTGGGGTTGGGTTTTTTGTTTGGGGGGGTGGGTTTTTGGGTGGGTGTTTGGGGTGTTTTGGGGTTTTTTTTGGGGGGTTGCAGTTCAGCAGTTCAGCTATCTGGGAAGCATCATTTCCTCGGACGCCACGATCGACAGAGAGATAGACAACAGAATAGCAAAGGCATATAGAGCCTTTGGAAAACTCATAAAAGAGTCTGGTGTAATAAACACCTGAAGAAAAGTACAAAGATCAGTGTCTACAGAGCCATTGTATTGTCTACTCTTTTATATGGGTCTGAATCATGGGTCATCTATCGTCATCACCTGCGACTCCTGGAACGCTTTCATCAGCGCTGCCTCTACAATTCTAAACATCCATTGGACTGACTATGTGTCTAATGTCACTGTCCTCGAACAGGCAGGGGTCACCAGCATCGAGGCCACATTGCTGAAACTGCAGCTGCGCTGGGCAGGGCACGTCTCTAGGATGAAGGATACCGCCCCAAGATTGTGTTTTCACGCCAGGTAGCCGCAAGAGAGGCAAAGAGAGATAAGGACTCCAACAATCCTTAGCCTTGGCCATATTGATACCATATGGTCACCTTGGCCTCAATGGGAGACTTGGAGGCACCATACTAATGCCGCTGACTCCTTTGAGGTTCCAAGACTAGTTCAGGAGAAAAGACAAGAGGAAGATGTGTCCCACTGTTCCCCCAGGAGACCTTCTGCTGTGTTTTTTGTAGCCGGATTTGCCTATCCCACATTGGCCTTCT